GGCTACATCAGTTACCATTTCTGCATCTGGCCTCCAGCTTCAAATGTGTCTTGACTTCTCTCTCCTGCTATCATCTCCACTCTAACGCTTTGTCCATGGGGGTTTATGCTTTTAAAGATGCCTTTCCTATAATTTTAGTGGGATTTCAAGAGGGAGCAGTGTTGAACAGACATGTTTAACATACCATGTTTAGCTGGAAGTCTTAAATTCAATTATTACATTATCCCTACACTCCAAAACAAGGATAACAATCATCTTTTTAAAAAAAATCTTTTAACCTAAGTTTTCAAAAGCCAGTATTTTTTAATTTAATTAATGTTGCTTCTAATAGTATATGACACTTTATAAGAGCATTATTATTAAAACTTTATAGCTTTCATTAAAATAACTGACAAATTAGAACTTAAGTTTAAGGGCTGCAAGTAATTTTATACAGTTTTAATGGTTACTTGTGTTTTGAGTCAATGGCATTTTCTCGAAAAGTAATTACTGAAAAATATGGATGTCAAGAATACTACAGGACAGATTCTGTCATATGTTTTCTCTTGAATATTTGTAAAAAAATTATAATTCATATATCTACTCAGGCATAATTAAAACTTAGGCCCAAAACATTTCAATTTATTGATGATGGTTGTATTTTCACACAATGAGTGACTGGATAGCAAGGGATCTACATCCTTATTTTCCAAAATCTTACCTTTAGTTGTCAAGGTATCTGTCAAACTCAGATTCACAAGACTTAAACAGTATATAGACTCTTCACAAGAGTTAAACAGTATATAGAGATATGGAGAAAACTACATAATGATACATGCCAATTTATGCCTATTTACAAGCATATGGGAGAGAAGTAAGACAATGAGGGTAGAGAGGGGAAGCACAAAATAGAACAATAAACAAAAACAAAAATTATTTTGAAAAGTGCATATTTCATATATGGTTTCATTTAAATTAAAAATTTTTTGAAAAAAGCAAAGAAATAGAGCTATATCTACACACCAGATTGTCTATTTTACGCTTCAAATGAAAAAAGCAAATTGCAAATTCTCTTTGTATATAAAAACAAAACTTAATCTATATATCTATGTATACACATATTAATAAGAAGAAAGGTGCAGAAGGACATAAGTCAACCTTTTAACATGGGTTACCTAACAGCTATTGGAGACTAAAAACAAAACTTAATCTATATATCTATGTATACACATATTAATAAGAAGAAAGGTGCAGACGGACATAAGTCAACCTTTTAACATGGGTTACCTAACAGCTATTGGAGATATTTAAAGATCTGTGGTACTCTGGATATAAGCTATTATTGGTTGACTATTTCTTGTGCTCTCTCTCCTTCATACCTGTTCTTTTATGCACCAGGGGCTTGATTTGCCCAGAAGCTAATCTCCTGATGTGATTACTAGTCCTTGTCTCCCATTTCTCTGATTTACTCTCTGGCAAAGCCAAGAGAGTATGGGCACTGACCAGCCACTAAACTGGAGGAATGTCCCTGTGGTCTCTAGTAAGCTTGAGACTTTCCTGGCAGAGACTGGGTCAAGTTGTCAACGGTGCCTATTGCCAAATCAAACAATCTAAAATATTATTCCCTCCCACCTCCTGTGTCTAGGGAAGGCAAAACTACATGAATATGATGGATCCCCATTTTCCTGACAAAAACACAATCTACAAGTAGTAACTGCAATACAAGAAAATACAGTATGTTTTTAGTAGAGTCTAGCATACTGTAGATTCTTGATAGATATTACAGAGCAGCAGCACTGTTTTGAGCAAAATAAATCCAAAGAATGAACTTGATAGGTGCTTTTATATAAGCAGAAGTCATTAGGTATTCATAAGACTACACATGCTAAATTACTTTAAAAGTGAGAAATTATACTTGAGACACAAATATTATTTTTAAAAATCCACCTGTTACTAACTAATCCAAAATCAGTCATATATACAGATTGTGTATTTATATATCATTAAGGACATACCCAAAATTACTTCAATATCTCTCTCCTCTTCCCCTCAACTAAGATTCACACACACGCACATCTCTATCTCACTGTGTTTTCACATAGCTAGAAAAGTTTTTTTATGCTACTGTTTTTCAATGTGTTCTCAGAGATAAACTGACCATCTCACTTTATGTCACCTTTTTAGAATACATACATTTTTAGAATACTCATTCATTCAACAAATGGATATTGAAGGTCTGCTATATACTAGGCACTGTTCTTTGCTCTGGGAATACAGCAGAGAGCAAAACAGACAGCAATCCTTTCCCTCATTAAGCCCATATCCTACTGGAAGGAAACAGCCAATAAAGAAGTAAGTAAGTGAAACATATTGTATAAAATGTCAGATGTTGCTCAGCAGTACAGAAGAAAGAGGAATCGAGTACCACTGCTCCGGAGAAGGTTGTAATTTTAAATAGGGTGTGGTCAGGGAAGGTCTAGTTGAGTAGAGGAAATTTAAGGAAAGAAATGAAAGACGTGAGGGAAAAAGCCATAAGAATATCTGGGAGAAGAGTGTTGCAGGTTGAGGGGTTCAACACGCAAAGGTACAAAGACCTTGAGTCAGGGTGCACGTTGTCACCCCTCCAATGTATTCTCCCCTATTCTGCTTCTCCCTCACTTTACTCCAGCCAGGCACTGGCCTCCTCGCTGTTGCTCACACGCGTGCAATGGGAATGGGAATGGGAACTATGGAAGCAGTGCGGACCCACAGAAGCTCCTCTGATGTGGCTGCCTTCTCAAACTGACAAGCATGCCATCATCACATGAATGAAAGGGACCTTGGGCAAATGACCACTCCTCTTGAGCAGCAATGTCCAATAGAACTTTTTGCAACTTTCTGGAAATGTTCTGTATCTTGTCTACTAAATAGCCACTAAGTCACATGAGGCTATTGGACACTTATGTGGCTACTGTGGCTACTGTGACTAAGAAACTAAAAATTTAACTGTATTTTATTTTAATTAATTGAAATTGAAATAGTTAAATGTGGCTAGTAGCTAGTAAAGACAGGTCTTGATAACACCGGAACTTATCATTAATAGAGATACCTTACCTCTAAAAAAAATATGTTTTGTTTAATTTGCTAAATCTCTAGTTGTTCTAATGAGAATTTTATGCTTAAATGTGGCAATTATGATTAAATGTGACTTAATTGTCACAAAAAACATATTAACCATTATCCACCATGTAATTCTTTGGCTGCTACATGGAAAAACTATTGCTATTAGACTTTCTTACCTCAGCTTTAGTGTTTCCCTGTGCATGATTTTTTACTGCTGAAATAAAAGTTAAAAAAATTTTTTTAATCTGTTTTTAAATCAAGCTGTGTTTCCTGCTGGCAAGTTTTTTTCTTCTATTTGATTTGTTTTCAGTTAATACATACTTACATGCAAATGTAAAAATATGAACGAAATATAACAAATGGATTGTGGTGTAATAAACTCTACATTCATGTGTTAAATTCTAACAAAATAAAATCAAAGACAGTGATTGGTAGAATAGCTTAGCAGATTATTTTTTGGAAACTGGCATTCAAATGGCTTTGTTTTCTACAAAACCGGGAATAAGAGATCCTGATTCTTTCATGACATGCAAGGCCAATCTTCTAAAACTATACTTAACTTTGTAAAAATACATGGGTTCTAAGAAAAAGGAATATACATATACCAAAAACACTACTATTAAAGCTACACAAGAAAACTGCATGTTTTAGAATTTCTATGTTTAAATCAACAGCACCCAGAGACGATGAAAGCCAGTTACTAAAAAATTTATTGCTTGGTTAAAACTCAGTTTACAATTCAAAGGAGATTTAAAATCTCTGTGCTGTTATGAAGCTTTATGGGGTTTACAGTGGAGATGAAAACAGAAATAAAAAGACCTGACAAACATAAAATGCCAAAGATACTTCCAGCATTATCGGCATGGATTTTCTACCCCCCTACCCCCACCCCATCATTACCTTTTACCTTATTCCAACACAACTGACTTTAACTCATCTGCCTGAAAACACAACTATGTTTCCTGGGGTCCCTTTCAAATTGTAAATGTTTGATGGATAAAGCTGAACAGAATATTATTTTTATAATTTTTTTTAAAAACTAGATTGTAAACGCCATGAGGGCAGAAATTTCTGATAAGGATTCTCAGCCTAGAATAGTGCCTAGCATATGTGAGTATTACATACTCAATAAATATTTACTGAATTAATAATTTGACCAAAATCTTTCATTATAATAAAGATACCCAAATGGTATTATGACATTTGCATAGAATTTTATTTTAAACTGGTAATCTAGGCACATTCCACTTCTCAAACATTTTTGCTTCACCATCTATACAAACAACAAAGCCCTTTTTAAAGCTTATTGGTAATTCACAGAATTAGCCAAGGGCTTTCATATTCTTTTTTTTAATGATTCCATGACAAAACTTATTTTATTTATTAATAAATAAAAATTAATTTATTCTAATAATGACCTAAAATTGTAAAGGGAAAACCTGAAACCTATTCAAATGAAATGTTATAAAATATTAAAACAAAATATTATTTAAATTACTACAGAAATAATATAAAACAAGTGATGGATCATTCTGGACTTTTCACGTTTTTCTTAAATCTTTAAAGGATATTTTCTAGTTCTCTGTTTAGTCTTGTTTTATATTACTGTTAAACCCTTCACTTTCAAAATCAAATAAATTGAGATGCCATATAATAAACTTCACTGTGCTTTTTTACATTTTATACCAAAAGAGCAAATTTATTTTAAAAACAAAATCTAATGCATGCTGGAAAATACTGAGTTGGAATGTTTTCTGAAATGCTGTTTACTGCAAAAGTCCCAATGTTTGATCAACTAACACTGAAGTTTAAATTAGGTCTTAACTCAGGAAATTGACCTTCATAATATTTTAACATGATGTTTTTCTTTAAAGGTGATTGTCTTCTAAAGAAAAAAGATTTAAATGTCCTTGACTTACAGTCAATTTTCGGTCCCAGATCTGTATGCTTCCATTCTGGCAAGCAGCTGCTATGAGGTTTCCATCTCTACTATATGTACACGTAGTAGGAATGACTTTTTTACCCTGTATTGTCCGTGGTTTAAACACACTTTTTTGCTTCTTTGGATTTTCAACTTCCCATGTCCTCACAGTCCTAAAATGAATCAGAAGATTATCATTTATAAAAAAGAAAGGAGTTTAAAATAGGGAAAAGTCCATTAAAGACAACCCTATCTTTTAAGAATATAAGTCACATTATTTTTAAATAAAACAAAACATGCACTGTAAAATATTCTCCATTCACAAATGAGGTTGCTCATGAAAATAAATAAATTGAACCATCTGAATCGTGTTGTCAACAAATCAAAAAGGAAGTGGCAAATTTTACTTCAAATCTATCAGAGTTATCAGTTCTGACATTCTAAAGCAGTGACCTCCAAACTCTTATGATTATACATCCTGGTCAGTAAAACTGTTGAATGTATGCCCCCTATATAGGCACATTAATTTTTAAATTACTTACATGTGTTAATAGTGCACTGTTCTATAACATACACTAGAACACACACTGAAAAATAAATCACTAAAAAAGAATGATGTTCCTCTCTAGGGCCAAGCAAAGATCACATGCCCCTGGGGGAGGAGTAGAAACACAGCTGTCTGCCTCTGAGCTTTCACCAAGTAACAAGGAACAGCAGTCTAGGCCTAGGGCAGGAGCAGAACATCCTCCTACTCAAGGTCCCAGGGAAAGAAACACTGCCACTGAGGGTGGGCAGAACAAAAGCCATATGACCCAGAGGGAGAAGGAAAAAAAAAAAAAAAAAAGGATAAAATACAGAAAAACAAAGATAGACCAGCAACCTCTTGGCAAAAAATATACAAGCCAAACCACTATGAAATAACATCTCTAAAGTCCTGAAAGAAAAAACAAATTGTCAATCCAATATTCTATAGCCAGTGAGAGTATATTTCAAAAAGAAGGTGAAATCAAGACTTTTCTCAGATGGACAAAAGCTGAGGGAATTCACTGCTATAAGACATATACTACAAAAAATGTTAAAGGTCTTAACACAGAACAAACGTTACACAAATGGAAATCTGAATCTACAAAAAGAAATGAAGAGTGTTGCAAACAGTAAAAATGAGGGTAACTATAAAAGACATTTCTTAAAAAAAATATTTAAATCACTTTAAAAAAGCATTATAAAGCAAAAGTAGTAACAATGTATTATGAGGTTTATAGTATATGTACAAATAACATGTATGACACAAAGAATGGGAGAGAGGAATGGAAGTATACAGTTTTATACTATATTTGAAATAGCATAATATTATTTGAAGAGAGAATATGATATATTAAAGGTGTACATTACAAACCCTAGAGCAATTGTTAACACATTTTTAACAATGAATACATAATAATGGAGATAAAATGGAAACAAAAATTCATTTTAACAAAAAAAAAAGCTAAGAAATAAAAACAATGTGATTAATAGAAAACAAATAGCAACATGGTAGATGTAAATCCTCATCAATAATTACATTAATTGGAAATGGCCTAAAAACTCTAATTAAAAGGCAAAGATTGTTAGATTGGATTAAATGAAAGTAAGACTCAGACAGAATCTGTTTTTAATTATTTATATAAATATTAGTATACATAATATATAATATATATTTACTTAAATATTATATATTTATATGTAACCTCAAAATTATTTATATGAATTTAAATAAATTTATTTATTGTACATAAATACATTATATGTTACATATTACATTTTGTATTTATATACAATAAATAATCATATACTATATACTATATTATATATCAAGATTTATGTACATTAATACTAAAAGGATGGAAAGAGAGTATCATGCAAACAATAAAAAAAAAAAAAAAAAAAAAAAAAAACCCCTGGTGTGACCATATTAATGTCAGACAAAGTAGCCTTCAGAACAAGGAATATAACCAGAGGCAAAACAGAAAATTTCATAATGGTAGTCAATTGATCAACAAACATAACAAATCTAAATGCATATTCCCCTAATAACAGAGCTTCAAAATATAAAAACAAACTTAATAGAAAAGAAAGGTAAAGTAGCAAATCCATACTTACAGCTGTACACTTCAAGACTCCTCTCTTAGCAACTGATGAAAAAGTAGACTCCCCAGCCCCCAAAAAGTCAGTAAGTAGAAAGAAGACCTAAAAACACTACCAACCAGTTTGAGCTAATTAACACTTATAGAACACTTCACTCAACAACAACTAGATGTACATTCTTAACAGGTGCACACTGAAATATATTCATCAAGATAGACCATAGTTTGGGCCATAAAACACATCTAAACAAAAAAATGGCTAAAATTATACAAAGTATGCTAAATAAAATTAAATAAGCAATCAATAACAGAAATGTATCTAGAAATATATCTTTTCCCAAATATTTAGAAATAAAGAAATACACTTCTAATCAATCCATGAGTCAAAGCAAAAAAATTTATGTTATTAGAAAATACTTTGAATCCAACCAATTATGAAAATATACAACATATCAAAATTCATGGTATTCAACTAAAGCAGAACATAGAAGGAAAGTACAGCACTAACTGCATTTATGAGGATACTTCAAAAAGTTTATGGAGAAATAAAATTAAAAGATAATACCAATCTTCTAATGAACTTTTTGAAGTACCCTCATGTTAGAAAAATATAAAGGCCTCAAACCAGTTTATCCAAGAGACAATCTTAAGAAAGTAAGGACCAAAAAAAAGAGAGAGAGAGAGAGAGAAAGAGTGTGAGGAAGAAAATAATTAAAATGAGAGTACAAATGAATAAAATAGAAAACAGGGCCAGCCCCGCGGCTCACTCAGGAGAGCGCAGCGCTGGCAGCGCTGAGGCCGCGGGTTCGGATCCTATATAGGGATGGCTGGTGCGCTCACTGGCTGAGCGTGGTGCAGACCACACCATGCCAAGGGTTGCGGTCCCCTTCCCAGTCAGGAAATAAATAAATAAATAAATAAATAAATAAATAAATAAATAAATAAATAAATAAATAAATAAATAAATAAATAAATAAATAAATAAATAAATAAATAAATAAATAAATAAATAAATAAATAAATAAATAAATAAATAAATAAATAAATAAATAAATAAATAAATAAATAAATAAATAAATAAATAAATAAATAAATAAATAAATAAATAAATAAATAAATAAATAAATAAATAAATAAATAAATAAATAAATAAATAAATAAATAAATAAATAAATAAATAAATAAATAAATAAATAAATAAATAAATAAATAAATAAATAGAAAACAAAAAACAGCAGAGGAACCAAAATCTGGATCTTTGAGAAGGTCAATAAAATTAATAAGCTTCTAGCTGGACTGGTGATAAAAATGTAAGCTGGAGCCAATATCAAACACCAATATCTTTAAAGAAGGAAAGGACACATCACTAGAGCTTAATAACATTAAAAGAATACTAGGGAATTTTATGAACAACTTTATACAAATAAATTTGATAATTTAGATGAAGTGGACAAATTTCCTTGAAAGACACAAACTACCAAAGTTCACTCAATAAGAAACAAATAACTGAAAATATTCCTACAGCTGTGTAAAAAGGTGAATACATAATTAAAATCCTTCCCACTAAGAAAACTCTAGATGGCTTCACTGTTGAATTTTACCAAACATAAGAAAGAATATCAATTTTATACAAACTCTTCCAGAAAATAGAGGGAACACTTCCCAACTCATTCTATAAGGTCAGCATTACCCTCATGCCAAGACCAAAGTTGCTACAAAAAAAGAAAACTATAGACCAACATCCCCAGTGAACAGAGACACACAAATTCCTAGCAAAACATCAGCAAATTCAACCTAGCAGTATACAAAAAGGATAATACATCATGGCTAAGTGGTGTTTAAACAGGGAGCGTAAAGGAGGATTGGAAGGACTGAAAATCAAACAATATTATGCACCATATCAACAGACTAAAAAAGAAAAAAGATATATAATGGACAAAACTGATGCAAAATAAGCATTTGGGGTGGTAAAAAAAATCCAACATCCATTCATTATAAAAATTGTCAGTAATTAGGAATAGAAAGGAACTCCCCAACCTGACAGAGGACATTTATGAAAAACCTATAATGCACTTAATGGAGAAAAGCTGAATGCTTCCCCTCTATGCTTGAGAACAAAGCAATGATGTCAACTCTCACCATTTCTATAAACTGGAATTGCCAGCCAGCAAAGTAAGGCAAATAAAAGAAATGAAAGACTTACAGATGGGAAAGAAGAAATAAAACTGCCTTTATTAAGAGACCACAAAATCATCTATACAGAAAATTACAAGAGTCTACAAAAATGCTACTAGAACTAATAAGTGAGTTTTTGGCAAGGTCACAGGGTACAAGGTCAATAATCATAAATCAATTTTATTTCTATTGACTAGCAACAGAAAATCAGATATTGAAATCATGAAAATAATACCAGTCATAACAGTATGAATAAATATGAAATATGACAAAACATAGTCATGCACCACATAACACATTTTGGTCAACTACAGGGACCACATATACAATGATGGTCATAGCCATCGTAAGGTCATAATGCAACGCATTACTCATGTAGGAGCAATAGGCTATACCATGTAGCCTAGGTGTGCAGTAAGCTATACCATCTAGGTTTGTGTAAGTACACCCTATTATGTTCTCATAACAAAATTGCCTAATGACCTTTCTCAGAACATATCTCTGTCATTAAGCAACAAATGTCTGTACATATATATCTGTACACTGAAAACCACAAAACATTTCTGAGAAAAAGGAAAGAATATCTATGTAAATGAGAAGAAATACTGTATTCATGGTTCAGAAGAGTCATTATTATGAAGATTTCAATTCTTCTCAAATTGATCTTAAGATTCACAATCACAATCACAATCAAATTCCAGTAGGGTTTTTCAGGAGTAGAAATTGGATAAGCTGATTCTAAAACATATGGAAATGCAAACAACTTGGAACAGCCTAAACAAGAATAAAAGTACAAAACTAGAGAACTCTCTTTACCCAGGTCACATAAGTTATAATTACACTTATCAGTATTAACATTTATTCCTTTTACAAGA